TAAGTCTATCAACTCATTACGATCAGTGTTGCGTAAAGACTAGTCGATTGACAAATTTTGATTACACATTCCATAAAACAAAAAATGAATATTTAAAACTACATTACTTCATATAATATTATGTTTTATTACTATTTTTTGTTGGGGCATACTGTATATGGCAGTGTAAAGGAAATTTCCGTAATTTGCAACGGACATAAAAGCCGCAGGTTTTTGAGTTTTGTCTGACTCTGACGATTGTTAGTGCGGTTCAAAAGCTGCCGAAGCCATGATTAGACACGCCAGGTGCAAACGCAATTTGCGAGATATAATTATGCGTTCCAAAGTTTTCCAGTTAAAAAGTTGACAGTTCTCAGGAATTGACTCAAATACCAATTACAAAACAACGAAATTGAAAAAATGAAAATATAAAATGCTGTGTTGGTTGCCTATCTAGACTGCTACATACAAATTGTATAAAAATTTCCTTACCACTGCTAATTCCTATGAAATTTAAGTAATTTCAGTATAAACATTGCTTTTTACAAAAGCGATAACGACATATATTTCTTGCAATTATTATTTGCTGATGTTTAAATTTACGCGGTAAAAATTGTTTACTTGAAAAATTGCAATTATCGGTAATAAAACAAAACGTTAATAACATTATTAACGCGACGAAGAGTTTAATTACGACTTTAATAGCAAGAAATTAGCGTGATCGCGTCAGTAATTCAGAGTATTCAATATTAAACTAAAAAGATTGTAAGTAAACGCGGTCGATTTACGTCAAAGGTAAATTAATATAATTTTGATTGATCGTATAGTTTTTTTCTTATATTAATGACTGTTTCAAAAACATATTTTGATGTGCATTTTGTTATTGTGCAAAAAGCACCCTCCTGGATGAGTTTTCAGTTTCCCTTGTAAAGTTTTAGGCCATTCACCCTCTTAATCGGATTTTCTCTGTATACTTTTACTTCGGGTTGCATTTCCCTGCGTGTTCTGGGGATTCAAAGTGTGTGAAAGTGCATTATGCAGCTAGTTATGATTTATATCTGTTGTAAATCACCCTAGTTTGCGATATTTGATAGGCGAGGGTTCTGTTTGACGTTTGCGCCCATGATAAATGTGAACAGAATTCTATCGCATCTGTTGGTTGTATTGGGTGTTTCCGAATAGCAATTATTACTTTATTTATAAATGTTTTGAGATTTTTTTGAATTGTTTGTTTGGTATGAATGAAAAATATTGAAAAAATTACACACGTGCAAACAGATCATTAAACTGCATCAAGAATATGATTTAAAAAATAATACGTTACATACACGTGAGAATGTAAACAAATAAAAACAATTGAATAACTTTTGATATATGCCGAAGTCAGATTTATAAAAACTAATATTAACCAATTAAGGATGTGTCAATCAAAATTTAAATCATGTGATTTTAATTAAGTACGCAGAGTAAAAAAATATTTTACCTTTTTGCAACAGTAAAATTGACCCAAACTAAATGTTTTTAATTTGGAGGCCAAGTTCTGCGTCAAAATTTGCAACTAAATAGTAATCACAGTATGCAATCCAATATACAATTTAATTATGTTGAGTAACAAAAATAATTAAACTTTAATAAATGTTTTGAATTGAGGGTCAAGTTTCCCCCTTTTTGTACGTTCATTTCCAACTAGTAGTCACGGTATGCAACCCAATATACACAGAACAGCATCGCAGCTACAAGTTGATTTTTTTATATTTTCAAAGAGAATACGACATACTATTGACGTCTTGCGTAAAGTGATGAAATACAAAATTGTTTTTATAGACTTTCATAACTATCGTCCGGTTTTTCCTCTGTTTCCTTCTCACACAATCAATATTTGCGAAGTAGAGCGTGCTAAGGATACACTCCTCATAAATTCACATCTTATTAATATTTAAACAACTAATCGAAGAAGATACACGCGATATTTGCGCATTTCAATACAGAATAAACATATCAGGTACATTAGAAATCGATTAGGATATCATAAACGACACAAAATGCACATTGTAATCAATAAATTCATAATTAAAGATTTATAAAAAGATTATCAACGAATGCATTATTCAATTATTAGATATTAGATCAGGTAAAAGTCAACGGAAATTATTCAAGATTATTTCATCGATAAAATACAAATGAATATTTTAATGAATGCTCAAATTATTGTTCTAGATATCATATTGATATGATATTCGTATTTTAATTAGTGGAATTTAACCTGATGACAAATCACATTTATAACAGTGAGACAGGTCTATAGTATCAAAGTTTGACTTTACGAGGAATGTGGCGCTAATATGATCAAATAGTTCAATTATTTCAATTATCACATTTTCAATTGTGTTAGTATCATAAATGATGTCGTCAGGGCGATTACAGAGATTGGACCATCAAAATTGATGAAATGAATGTCTATAAATAGATGTTGGAGATGTAAGAAGATACTACGTGACCGCACACTGATCTAAGAATATTGAACTAAGTGATATTATAACTATTTTTACGTTATTAGAAGATTAATATGCTTGTAATTGTTGTAATGTAAACAAAATTTCTGCATTTTTGTACAAAATCTAATAGATATTAGTAAAATTACTGCATTTTAATAAAAAAAAAATAATATTTCATTTCATATTAACAATTTACAAATAACATAGTCACGGTTTTTAAGTGAACTACCTACTTAGTACTTGTCAATTTTTAATATTAAAACATTTAGTTAAACGATTTTTTGAACTTTTAACACACTGTGATAAGAAAATACCAAAATGTCATTAATTACTTTAAAAAATTAAGTTATGCACAAACGAAAAGCTTTAGCAACACACGACTTACTTGTTTCTTTCAGTTACATAATTAATAGAAAAGTGTACCATGCCACAAAATATCAGACTTCAAATTTATGAATTTATATTTTGTGCTCGGTAGCGCACAGAGAAAGTGTAAACAAGTTAACGTATCTCGTGATACTTTTTTGGGTTAACACTCTACATAATTCCACGTGACTTAATTTAACTTTTATACACATTTTAAAAAATTGCGTAATTAATTTATTAAGTTGAGAGTCCATTGGCTTTAAAATAAAAATCGCAGACAGACAGATTACTTAATTATTATATTTGCACTTTAGAACTTATGCATATAACTTTCAATTTTTTCGTAGTAGTCTAGCTCAAGTTGTCTAGTTTATTTTATTGACTTATGATTGAAACTCTATTGATTACCAAACAGGTGTCATATCTCAAGTTTTTTTTCCAGGCTAATAAAAATGAAACTTGTTTTATTGAAAAAATTAGTCACCAAAAGTTATCAATCAAATTTAATAATTACTTGAAAACTATTTAAATTAAAATTGTGATTCTTTCAGATATAGGTTCTCACTTAAATTCTGTATTTTCTGTGAATTAATTATATTTTCCAAGATAATCCCTAAAAAGTTACCCACAATTTAAAAAAACATACATTTAGGAAAAATGCATAAAATTGATGCAAAATTGTTCGGTAACATTTGAAAAATAACAGCTATCATCAAAATTCTTTCGTAATAATATTCAAAAGTTTATTCTAAACATATTCCCCGAAAGACATATAAAAATGTAAATTCGCTTTTCAGTAATCAAGCAAAAACTATAATTATCAGTCTCGTACGGCATGTTTACTTCGAAACTTGTAGTTAAAAATTAATTGCTCGAGAACTATTACCGCTAGAATAATGAATCTTTCAAAACTTTATCCTCAATTAAATTGTTCATAAAACACCGACAAAATTAAGCTAATAAAAATAGTCCCCAAAAAGTTAAACTAATTTAAAATTAAAAACCGCAAAAATATAACAAAAAATCAGTTTAATTAAAAAACTTTTGCAGATTTTTAGTAACAACAATTATTATTAAAAATTTCTAATAATTATATCCTGAATTTAATACTTTTCGTAAAATTCTTTTGTTACTGAGTAAACAATTGATTAGCAGACATAATAAATGTACTCAAATAAAGATCGCACAAACCTACGCAAATACATAAAACCATTGCTAACAATCGCCCGTAAAACTTGTATGTACTTTATTACTTATCATACTATGATTGCTCATAGTGATGAGTATCCATATCGAACGGTAATTTTACGTGATGATTAAGCATTTTTCACTCGTCGGTCAGTGTTCGCATTCGCACGTCACTAAAACTCTTCCAACTAGATTAATATAGTGACGAACATGACACTTTTTTCATTAATCAAACACTGAACACGTAGCATAATTGCAATTAAACTTACTTAAGTCATTTAAGCCATACGTACAAATGTATTGAATGAATTGATTGTGTTATTTGATTGAATGCTCACCTCTAGGCACCAGTTTAAATTAATTACGATGTGTCCTCCTTTCTTCATGCGGCTGGTGTGCTACTCATGCGACTTCTGGTCCTTGCTCACTTCACTTCACCGTCTGCTGGCGCACTGTGCGCCGCGCGCATTTGTTTCGATATTTTGTTTGAACTTTCTTCCGATCGTGAGGTAACACACGACGAATAAGACTCCGGCGTCCGGTGTGCAAATTTCTGTTTTCTCTCTTATGTATTCCACCGATTACACGAGTGGCTTGCTGGTGCTGACGTTTATGAATTATTTGCACTTTCTGGGCTTTCCTACCATGTCTACCATTCAATTGGAATGCGACGTTTGACACACACTTGAATGTTTTAAATATGTAGGTAAACCGTACGTCGGTAATCAGTCAGTATGAGCTGATACGGCGACTGGGTGACTGCTTGTGATCTAATGCAGCGATGTGTTGGTGTGTTTCAATGTCAACGTGCAATGTGTGAAGCGCGATAATACACGAACACACTATTGATCCTTGTTTATGCAATTTGTTGAAGAAGGATGGAACATGTATTCGTGTTGATTCGTGTTGTAAAAGTCTAGGTTAGGCAGTTATAGGCCAAGCTAGACAAACCGTATGCAACTATAAACAAAAGGTGTATAAAGGTGGATGTCTGATGACAGTCTGATGATGAGTCGAATAAAACGTATACTTATACCTTTGTCAAGCAGAGGCGAGTTGAGCACACCACACCAGAGAAATTCATGTCAAATACGTAATGTTTTGTGTGAGTACGTTTCGACATTGTTTTGTTTAATTCAGTGTTGACATGAATAACGCATGTTTAGCATACGGAAGCGTGAACTTAATGCGGAACACGCTTTTTCGTCTCGTCATTGAGCGAATAGGAAATAGAAATCGACAGATTTCAGTATTATCAGTTATCCAAACGATTGTGTAAAGTAATATCTGGCGTGACTGTTATTCAGCTGTTGCGTGTCGTTGTTGTGGTGGTTCAAGTGAGTCATTTTAATAGGGGTTCAATAATGAAGGGTGGATCACGTGTTGACTCATTCAAATATAACCGTAATCCTGACAATTCAGTCGTTACAATGTTTGCCAGAAATTTATCATCTACTGGTGTTGTAACATAGGCAACTAGTTATACGCACGATTATACTCATTACGCTAGCAACAAATCAATGAAATGGATAGCATTTTGAAATATAACTCTTTCGTTATACAGTAGATGACGCTAGAAGCTCGATATTTACAATAATTTTATGCTTGTGAACTTTTCAGAAACTTGTTCTTTCATGTCAGCGGGTTGTTTATATCAAGTATAAAATAAGATAAAATTATCTGAATAGCATTTGATTAAATAACTCGAGTTGTCGTTCCCAGATGGCGCTAAAATGCTCTTTTTTAGTTTATTTTATTGTAAACACTCGCAATCAATGTTTATCGTTTTATTTACATTCAATACACTGTTTTAATGGTTCATAATTTAATAATCCCAATAATATTATATTAACCTATTAATATTTAACTAGATTATCTAATTTGATTCTTGTTTACCTTTACCAATTGATTAAATTGATTAATTTGATAAATTGGCGCTTTGGTATTTTGCACCTCTTCGGGTTTGATCCCATTTGTAATTTTGCCATCAACCAATTTGCCATTCATTGTGGTGTATGAGACCCTCTGGAGGCGGCCGTTTGGCTCGATGACATAGTACTCACCTGAGACCGCGGTCGCTACAGCTACATTCGGATTTCCACCCTGATAAAATAAAATGTTTTGCATAAATATTCCACTCTAATAAAAATAATTTTCAATTGGTTTTTTGCTTTGGTTTTCTAGATTGTTTATGTAAATTTATTGCTGCCAATTGAACATTTTATACATCGAATTAAGAAGTTGACTTACAGTCGACTGAGGAGTCTGGTACAATTGTTGTTTTTGTGCAAATTGTTGGGTTTGTGCAAGGTTTTGCTTTTGTCTTTGGAATTGCTGCTGCTGAGGTTGAACTCGTTGTCTTTGGAACTGTGGCTGTTGATTTTGTGGTCTTCTATTTGACTGCTGTCTGAATTGTTGCTTCTGGTTATTCCTTGGTAATTGTTGTAACTTTTCTGGAGCAGCTTGACCACGAGAGTTTTGCCTAAGTCGTTGTGCTTGAGGTTTGACAAATCTAGAAGGCGTAAACCCAGGCAGCTGTTGTCTAAATTGCTGTTGACGAATTTGCTCAGAAGCTCCTTGATCCACCGGGATCTGCCCATTTTCTTGTGGTGGAGGACCATAACCATTATCAGGTTGTTGAGGAGGTGCACCATATTCATTATCAGGTTGTGGTTGTGACTGTGGTGGGCCATACTCATTATCTGGTTGAGATTGTGGTGGTCCATACTCATTCGACGGATCTGGGAATGGTTGCTGCGGAGGAGGATAATCATAACCACCATTTGAACTTTCTCCAGGTGGACCACCTAATGGTGGATATTCTTCTGTTTGTTGAGGTTCTAGGGGTTCCGGTTGATTTTGATCAGGTGGTCCATAAGCATTATTAGGTTCCTGGGGTGTATCCGGAGGACCATACTCATTATTAGGAGGATATTGCGGTGGTTCAGTTTGTTCTGCTTCTGCAGGAGCAGGTGGACCATATTCACTTGGAGGCGCTTCCGAAGAAGGAGGCCCATAAACAGTATGAGGTACTCCTGCTTCCTGCCTAGCAGGAAGGATCAAACGTTGTCCCTCTGGTTTCCATCCACTGGGTTGATAAGGTGCAGAATCAACTGGAGCTTCCTCCTGACGTAAAAACAATGGTCTTGAGAATGGCCTTCCACGAATTGGCTTCTCACTCAGTGCGGCTGATATTGTCAGCAGAAAAAGAAACTTAATCATCTGGAACCCAATCGAAAGTACATCAATCAATAAATATATTGTATATTAATATTAATAACAACTCTCACCGTTGTCTTCATTGCGTTTCTCTTCCGTATTGTTTCAGGTGTTAAATGATCGAAGATAAATGTTCAACTGACGAATATTAATGGCGTCCGCTTTGTTTATATAGCCGAAGTGGGTCGTGTCCATTTAATACCGATTTTTATTCATCGCCGCCCCGCAAACAAACAAAATTTCAATTTCATTCCGTTATAGTTTTGGACGAAATGGAAAATTTATTAATATTCGTGGTACGCGCTCGGCGCGGTCGCGAACGTGCCCGGTTTTAATGCGTCGAAGAATGAGCCGGTAATTAATTTTCATTTCATTCGGTTTCGTTCGTTTATTGCGTTAGGTCAATTGATTTGTGACCATATCAGTAAGTTATAGATAGCAAAGGAATATTGATGGCCGCCGAAATTGATTGACCGACACGCGAATTGCAGAATTTCGGCCTGTTGCGTTGTGGGTATTCGTAAATTATGCAAATTTGCAATCGAATATCACGCACCTTTAACGCACAATCAGCCTTTACATTAGCATTTAACACACATGCGCATTGTACGAGTACTACTCAGTAAAAGAGGTTATGTAGATATCGTTTCGTTTTGCAGGTTATCGCATTAGAATGCATTAGAAGTTTATTTGGGTTTATTAGGCGGACGTGTGCGGTCCATCGGGCACGCCGAATTGTATTACGACAATTCGAAATTCATCGATTGACACAATCATGATGATTCCATTATTATTTAACCTATTGTTTCACGAGTGTATTGAATTAGTTTAATTTTGCATGACTAAAACGTTGTGCAATAATTAAATCACCATTTATTTTATACTGAATTGAGTACAAGTAATCAATGAAATACACTTTGTGTCGGAAAAGAAGCGCATTGAAAATGAAAAGAAAATGAAGGCCAGAAATTATGACGTGTAGCAGTTGTAATGAGTCTATTCAGGCACCATTCAGAAGTATCGCGTTCGTCCTTGCACATCATATTCTTTGATAGTATCATTTTACGCGTTTTTCTTCTCTTCTTTTGCTTGTATCATGAGTAGGCGTATATGCTTCAGACACAGGATATATTTTCTTATTTTCTATATATACCAAGTGTTTAAAGTAGTATAAAGTATTATTTTATTATAAAAATACAAAAAAAAATGTTTTAAAAAGTTTTTAGTTCTGAGTCTCGTTAGATTCTATGCAATTTAATATGGAAAAATCTATATATGCACTTTGCAATATTGGAATCATGAATCCTGATGCTGATGAAACCTTTTTATGTTTTCTAGGTTTTCTGAAGGTTGAAGTGCTGCCAGTCTGCGCTTGGCGATTTTCGTATTCACGTCGCGCTCGCCACGGCGAGCAAGATTCACGCGAAAACGCATGAAATCAATTGATGAGGAAATAAGATCACTTGTCGCATCTCAGAGGCATCATCTCGGCGAGATGGAGGGCTTTCATTAGACCCGGAGCATACGATAGCACGTCACTTAAGCGTATCAGTGTATGTAGTTACAAAATACACATATACACCTAGATATATTTTATATAAACTCAGTTAGGAATATTAGAAATGTAAGAAATACTCGTATTCTAGGTGAAATTTGTTTTTGAGCTGTGCTTGACATATTCTTATGAATATTTAAAAAGATAAATTATATTTCCGGAAAACAAAATGTTTTCTAAAAATACAACAGCATTAAATTGATATTTATTTTATTGGTTCAATGACTTTTTTTATTATTTTATGTTCTAATTATTGTTATTATTGTTTTTATTGATAAATGCAATTAGTTTCATTTCTCGTGTGCTTGCTTTGTTATTTTTTCTTTCGTAATTAATTGCTTTAGGGACTGTCAGCGAGTAATTAAAACATGCGAGTATGTCGCGCTTCCACTGCACTCGTTTCATCATCATCATCAATATTGCTGTTCCTTGGACCTAAATATAGTTTTCAGCAATACTGAGAGCAAACTGGAATGACGCGGTTGCTCAACTTTGACATTTAACAAATTAAGTTATTATCTGATTTTGTTACAGTTGTTACTTTTATTGAAATTTATTTTAAGAAAATGTAAAATTTTGTTATCTATTTTCTTTTGCAGCAGGTAAATATAAGTTTACAATCTATTTGATTATAAACTTAATTTTCTGTGTAGATGGCGTTTTTAGAAATGACTATAAATACGCAACTTTACATACATTTATTTTCAAAATAAAACTTTTTTTTATAAAAAGCTGGAAAATGTATGTTTTTGATTTTTCAATAACGAAATAATTAATCCATAGGTATGTTATTTGGGTAATAGGTATTACGATGAGTGTGTTTCGTAAACGAAAAACATGCGAATGACCATAAAACAGAAAATCAATCGTAAACCGCGCATAAACGCCTCCAACGCAAACAATTTGTGCACAATTCATTTGATCATTGTTTAAATTGGTTTATTTCGAGCTTTTTATTACGATCTGTTCGTTCACGTTTTCGAAAATGCGTAACACGAAAATAATCGAAACGTTTTCATTGTTTTTGACTCGAAAAAGTTTTAAAACTCGCAAATGTTTTATAAACAAACACTAAACTTGCCGTCTGCTTGCCTTTTTAATGCTATTTTTTGTGTTTTTTTTTCATGTACAACGTTAAAGAATAATATAAAAAAAGCATAAATCATACTTATGTATATCTGAAAGTAGAACTGTGTTTATTTGAAAAACCTTCAAGTAAAACCTAATAAAAAATGAAAGTTACGATCATTATGCTTATGCTGAAAATTTCTTTTCATATTTATCAATATTTCACTGTTTGGCATTGAGAAATGTTAAAAACTTAATCCTGGACAACATTTTTGACAGAAAATTATATGCAACCAACATTGCAGCAACAGCAGCATTAAAAGGTTACACTCCCCAGGTAAGAATTTAAATTTAACTTTCTTTTAACTATTATAGGCAAATGTTTGAGTAGTGTGTCGAAAATAGAGTTGGCGAATGAAATTAAATAATACATGAGAGTATCGCATGAATCAAAGTCGGCGGTCGGTCGGCGTAAAGCTGGAAAAGTCAGAGAAGGATTTACGACTTTCTTATCTTCATCCGCATCTCTGGCCAGCGTCGGCGAATAATGCACGGATTTCAGCTATGAATATAAATCTAAATCTGAATCTAAAACTTGTGTGCATTTGCTCTGGTATATTATAATTAGCGTGTTTATTGCACAACTGTGCATGCTATTTTCGCATTGCTTTAACAGACATAAAATATTTCACATTTTTAAAATTTTTCTTGCAATAAAATAATAAAAAATCACGATTACAAATCATAAGAGAATAAAAATTTGAGATTCGTATCATAATAATAATACTAACTACAATTTTATTTTAAAATGCAGCAGGATTGCGGTCGTTGGTGTTATGCCGGTAAAGTAGAAATCTAGATTGCACTGCACGTCCACTTGTATTGTTTTAATTTAATATTCCGCTTAATAAAACAAATAAAACTAATAATATTTGTGTGTTGTGATACAATGTTGTAAAAATTATCTCGCGAATTTGAATCGCACGTGTTTGCATAAAGCGCATTATTAAATGCAAGCGTTTGTTTGTACAGCCAAGTCCGACGTCGCTGTTTGTACGCGTTCGGCCTGCGTTCGGGTTGCGCTCGCGCTCAGCCCCGTGCGCTCAGGCAGCGCAATATTTATGCACTTTTCACATTTGCATTACGTGTGCGCCGGCATCATCATACGTTCTGTTTCGTCCGTAAGTGTTCAGTCGTGATCAGCAGTGAGTGTATGTGAATACAGTTTGTGCGCGCGCAAGCCGCCGGCGGCAACAACGCGGAGACGGCAAAGGCGGTTATGAAAAGCGGCACGGCCGTTGCGCGCCTGGACAGTGCGCCACCGCCGATCTCGTCGACGAGACATTCGCGCGCTTTTCGGCTGCAAGACGCGTGTTTAACGTATTCTCCGCGCAGACAAGTCAGTTACTCTCCGGAATCCACAAAAAAGATAAACACAAACCAAAACAAAACATTATCGCAATGTGGTATAGAAATTTATTAAATCACAGTTTGTAAGTTTTATTTGATTTCTACAAATTTTGACATTTTCGCACTGTACTAACAAGTGTGAAATCGTTGTGTAAGACTCACGTTTGTTTTTTGACTTTTCAACGGTATTTCTTCAACGCTGGGTTAAACTCTTCGCAGTTTTGGTAAGTTTTATGTTTGTTTATTATCATGCGATATGTGAATGTGAAAATGAATGAATGAAAACAAGAGATAAATTGTGATAGAATCGCGCACGTTTGATGGTCGTTGCGTTTCGGTTTTTTATTCCCCCGAAGTTTAATTACTCGCTGCGACGCCGAGGCACGATTGCGGCGCGTTGAGAGCACGGAGAGCACTTAGCCGCCCCCACAACTCAATCGCTTTTCGCACAATTGGAGAGAACAATTGCGGAATTGGGGATTGCGGAACAATTTTATTGCACTCTGATAAATTAAAACTACTGTCGATGAAAGAAACTTACGCAAAGTCTTCTAATTTATTTCAATGATTACATTTAATTACATTGTATACTGGCTGCAACACGTAAAAAATAAAAAAATGAATTTTATTGTTTATTATGTATAGCTTTTAAAAGTTAAATTTATTTTAATGATATTTGTTTGGAAAATATTTAATATTTAAGTATAAAATATTATTTATGACATCTGGTACAATGCTGTCGCAAATGTTTGCCCAGAGCGGTCCAAACGTGACATGATACTGTAACACCACTACCAAAATCACCGGCTGGATGTGTTTGTTTAGGTTTTAGGGCTCGTCCTTTGCATCGCATCAGGATGTCCTTGCTGTTTTTTTCGCTGCGCGCATCGCCGCAAAGGTAAACACAGGCGTACCTTATTTTTAACCGCTCTTTATAAAGAGAAAAACCGTCCAACGTTTTAGTAATTATGCACACTTTTATTTTACCTCATAAAAACACTTAAAATATAAAAACATTGCTGTTTTTATTAACTTAGGAATAAATTTAGGGCAGTAAGTAAATCAACTTAAATCTTAAACATTAAATTTAACTTTTTAGATTTATTTTTTGAATAATTCATCGGTGTATTTTCATTTTTTTGCCCGGAAGAAAAAAGTTTGTCAAAACTGTTAGAGTAGATTACGGAAAAGAAAAACCTAAACAAATCTGGTCCCTTTCAGTGTTTATTCTGTGAGTTAGAGTTAGGTCGCCGGATGGAAATTAAACCGGCGAAAATGCAAGCGTAAAAATTGCGAAAACCGAGCTGCTTGCATACAAAACGCGCGCGAAAAAACTCGATTCAGGTGAAATGCAAATTTGCAGTTTGAATATTCAGGTTTTTTTCGGCGAATTACAAGTCTCGTTACGCGTTTCGGTCTTAATTTTCGGCTTGTTGTCTTTTTTCATTTGTGCGTCGAGCTAAAGCTCGGTGTGCTTTATTAATTTAGATGGAAATGATTGTAAAAATGTACAATTTGAAGGGATATGGCTGCACAAAGGGCTTGAATTAAAACAAACAAACTGATTGCATCAAAGAGCGCAAACAATTCGCACTCAAAGTTAATTTGAGAACGAAGCATACTCAATCGCATTAATTTATTCCGATTTTTTGTAACATGAAGCTTTTGTTCATTAAATTTCAGTCTGTATCAAAATCTAGTTAAATATATTCATAAATAATTGGCTTATTTCATAAAAAATCATAATATTTCTTAATACCACTGAAGAAATCTTCTTAACAATGCTGAATTTAGCTAGTTATTGATTAATTAATCAAAAACTATTATTGATAACGACATAATTTTTGCAAAAATTGCTTTCTAATTAAATTATTTATTTATCTACTAAATTGCAAGTTATTTACACTATTTAACATTAAATTATAAACAAATTAAATTGAAATTAATTTAAATATAATAAAAAACATTTAAAATGCCTTTTAACTATTGATATAAAAATCTTATGGACAAAATATTAATGTGATTTGATGCAACAATTAATTAACAATAGATTATTTATCGTGCAAAATATACTCGTATCATAAACAAGTTACTGAACACAGCTTCAAAATAATTACATTTACCAACAATTCCACTAAATTTGCATGTTGCCACAATAGTTTTATAGCTTTTACCGCATATGAACTTTTCCTCCGACATTTTTACTTACCCGTACACCAGGACTAATTACGCGAAAATACTTTTCGTCGCTTTACAGCATTCTCGCGTGCTCGGACGCACTCAGACTTTTTCGCTTTCTCTACGAAAAGGGTGCTGCTTTTTTTCTTCCATAATTTTATTACGTAGACGTATGGTATACATAGGGTATTCACATCCACATTCCACTCGTATCGGATATATGCGTGCATCGAATACACACCACCGCCGAGTTGACATGACGTGACGGGACGTGACGTGATGTGGTGATGTGAAAAATTCCGCTTACAACGTGTAATTTGCGAGCACTTTTAATTACACCGAAATGGGCTAGCAATCAAAACATTACGTTTTATTACCGGCCATTAGCACTTTCATGAGTGCGCCATTGTTGGTGTGTATTTTTTTTGTTCTACCTCTCCTGCGTGTTGGCGGAATTAGCACACTTGTTCAGCACTACGCTGTGTCATATTGTGTATTTTTCGGTTTGGAATTTGATGTGTGTTTGAGCTTTAATTGTGTTGCTATTGATGATTATCGCGATAGGAAAACAAGTCGTATTATTTTATTCGATTCGAGTGAAATTTCGGTTTTTATTTCCTGTGATTTTAATCTGACAGACTATGAACATTGGGAAATTTTCTGGAAAACTACCGATAACGGTAGATATTTTTAGTATTTTTTCGGTTTAAAGTGGCTATGATGGTTGGAATTGGTTCAGTAAATGCAAAAATCTTTTGTTATAAACTGATGAGTTCTACATTCATGTACAGTTGACGTTGAAATAAAAACCAAACTGATTTTTCGGTCACGATGACAACTTTTATGCGTTTTACTAAAAATTCAAATGAAAAGGTTTTTTGTGCAATATCTATTTTAAAATTCAAGTGAATTGTATTTATTTTAGCCACAAATCAATACATCTCGTATTTATTAAAAATTTTATGAATTTTTATTTTTTTAACATTTAGAAGAAGAAAAAAAAATACAAAAAATGTGTTTTTGAACGCCTAACATTCGATTCAAAGTTCAATTTGATTTATGGTTAGTGTGAACCTTTCCCGCCTTAAAATTTTGCATTCAAAAAGTTGTAATTCTCTTGTTTCGTTTAGCATCCACGCATAAAAAGCGCTCCGAACGCTATTTGTCGAATCAAGTCGCGCATAAAATGGTCCCAGACCGCAAATCACGACGGGGCGCAGAGGGTTGCGCGGGTTGCGCTGTTTGCTGGGGCCGTGCGGCTCGTAAAAACGCCAATCCGTTCTCATTCCGCATCCGGTTTTTTTTTTCCGATTCAGACCTTGTCGAAAACGCGAAAACCTAATAAAACAAGCGACCACCGGACCAGGACGAATGTCGTACTTTCACTCGAGCGGTTAAGGGATAGCGATGCGTGCTGGCCGTGCCTCAATTCCGAACACTTAAAGCTTATTTATTTAGTGATTCGCTCGACTACACCAACCTGATGCGATGCGACGTTTGGGTACAAACCGGAAAAAACCAACCCCGCACACAAAACATCCGTTATTACCGGCTGTCCATCATTCCGGTACTCATTCTCATATTCCGGTTACATCAAATTTGACAATAAACGCAAAAAAATGATTTTCGGAAATTACTTACCACTAAAGTAATTAATAATTCACCATACCTACTTATATTTTATTTTATTTCGTGTTTGATGTTTTAAAAACGCATTCATAATGCAAATCGTATAGTCGGTAATCATGTGCTGGTGGTACTTCCCGTTTAAGCCACTCGAATGCGATTTTTAACTCGGCTTTGCGAATGAAAATAAAAAGGTGTGAAAAAATTGCCCAGCGAGCGCGTTTTACGACATTGTGTGCGCCATGAGGCTGAAGTCATATAGATTAAGTGAATAAAACGAACGTGCGCGCGACGCGCAAAGAAAACAAGGTGAAAAAGTGCAGAATAAAAGCGTGCGAGCATAAAGTCGCTCGGGAATATTAAAAATTTTCTCCTTGGTACGCTCGAAGTCATCTGCTCGTCTTCTCCGAGCTTATTTTTCACCCTGCGTGATGTTGTCTAGTTTTTTTGTTATCCGGCAGGGAGATCGTGTTAAAAAAGCGAATAAAGATGAAACGCTACCAGCGCGTCTTTGGTAGCTAGTATCTCGGATATCTCTATCGATGATAAAGATATCCAAGGTGAAAATAAATATTTTTATAGAAATCGCGATGTAATGAAAATATTTTTCGTTTATTTTTTTATTTTTTGTCGTGGAATCGTTGAAAACGTTGAGTGATTAATTTTACCTTCCCTAAATGTCGTTTTTGTGGCGTACGCCACACTTGTTTTAGTTAATGAATGCATTTAGTGCTAGCGTATAAACGCGCGCATTAATTACTCTCGCGGTTGGCAGCCATGTGACCGCAGGATATTCTAAATTAAATTCTCTTGAGTGCACGCATTTCAAACAAAACAAACATTTTGATGTTGACTTGATAACTGCAGCAATTTGTTCGCCAATTATTATTAAAATGATAAAATGCCATTGATAATTAACTTGCTAGGTTTCTTTTTGTTTTGTTTTGGATTTCTAGTAAATAGAAACAACTTCCAAATGTGAAACTTTGTCTAAAGTATGCATTCGTTGCCGAAACTTTGGAAACTTGTGCGCTTCGAACGAAAATAATTTGTAAACTTTGTGCTCTATTCGTCGCATCTTGTAACTTTCCAAAAAGCCCTCTCACCCTCTCATGAGAACGATGACATTTAAGTGCATCGCGCGAATACTTTCCGAACAATCTCGACGAGCACCGCGAACCATTTCCGTAATCTCCTCGGTTTGGGAATCGCGAATCGCTGAGGGAATGCGCGTATTAAGTGCGACTTGCGACTCGGACATTTTTGCGGTGGTAAAAGGACACGAAAAGGACTTTGGTTCTTGTCCGCGAGGCAAGGACAAGAAAACGCAATTACATTCATTTCATTCCTTCGCTTTTCCGCACAAAGAACACGAGACAATTCAATTTTATGCGAAAGAATTAAAATGTTTTGCAAAAAA